AGAGAGAGAGAGAGAGAGAGAGAGAGAGAGAGAGAGAGAGAGAGAGAGAGAGAGATAAAGATAAAGGCAAGAAAGAGGGAGAAGACGAGTATGCAAAAGAGAACTAGATCTGGGAGAGGGTGAAGGGGTAGGGTAGAGTTTATCAGCAAGTACGGGATACAGCGGAGAGGGTATAAAGTTACAGGCACGGGGACCACATTCGACGCTCATTAGCCTAATCGCCTTCATTACATGAAATTAATATGCAAATACGCGGATGCACCGCGTTATTTATAACGCACCGTGGAATAGGTATAACGGATCCTCCCCCTCCCGTTTCCCCAATACCACAGACGTACCAACACACGACATGTCACCCAATTAATTATCCACCACGTAATTCCTAGGCCGTGGTGCACCCGCCGCCGCCGTCGCGCTCGTCGTCTCTGTGTTGGTTTGGCGTTGTTGCCTCCGCTCGTTCCTGGCCGCGCAGTTAACGGAGCCTTAACGAGGACTCTTCTCAGGTGCATCGTCGACGAGGCTGAAACGTAGAGGCGGAACGAAAGGGGAGCATGGTCGGTGAAGATTTTTGTTCCTGTCGAGAATATTACGCGGGGCAGAATGAGGGGATACTGTAAAAACGTGTGATGTTACGCTCAGCGTGAGCCATAAAAGCGCGTGTATTTTACGAAATTAACCCCTCTTCGTTTTTTATTTCGTTTCGTCTTTTTCTTTATTTTTCGTCTTCTTTTCTCTCTCTCTCGCTCTCTCTCTCTCTCTCTTCTTTTCTTTCGTCGCTTCTGCAACGTTTCGCAGGTTTCAACATTTTTCTCCTGTCTCCGTGGGTAAAAGTGCTTCTTTTTTTTTTTAGAGTAGAACGAAAGTCTCGCCTTCGCGACTGTGGAGGATTCTTAATGGAATTATTCTTTTTGATTGTATAGCATTTTATTCTTCTCTTCTTTCCTTCTCTCCCGCGAAAGAGCTTTAGATATTATATTTTAGATCTTATGTTGTTCCGCAGAAACGTGGAATTTCCCCGCGTGAAAGGGGGAAATGTTGAAACTCGCGAATCTGGTGTTTTAATTGCAAACGTTACACGTAGTATTTTACACGGAATATAAAGTCCATAGAATGCATGGGCCAGTCCAGTCAATATAGCCGTAGAATTCTGTCTGGTATTCGGGGAATTCGCACGTACACTGTGACAGAAATTTGCACGAGACGAAAGGGTTGCTTGTCGATCACCGTTCGTCGTTCTACGCGGGCTTTATTAATATTTAGCGACGCATGCTTTAACGAACGAATGGAAATTGGTCTTTGAACTAATTTACTTCGGGGACGTGGCATCCAGAGAATTCTAATTTCCAAAGGCATTAGGCTTTGTAATGAACTTCCGTTCCAGCCAAAACCATAAGGCGTGCACACGCCTCGTCGAAAGGTCCAAGTTATTGGAAACTGTACGTCTGGAATGTGATTCGTCGGGTGACGAGGGCGTGGACTGATTCATTTTGTCCCGAAACGAGGCGGAAAAATATTCGAAATTTCGACTCGTGCTGCTCAATCAATAATCATCTATTTTACCCGAGTCAGAATTAAATATCAAGAATCACTTAGGAGAAGGGAGAGATGTTAAAATTATTGAAAAAGGAAAAAGAAAATATAGCATCAGTATGTATCGAAACGGCGTGTATCGCGTTGAATTTCAATTTAACATATAGATTACTCAAAGTCGTAATTCAAAACCGGCTATCGATCGTTTTCGTCGAATTTAATATTCCAACCACGAAACTCTCCTTGTACCCTATACCCGAGTAAGTCCCTGAAAAGATTCCATCGGGAGTGGACGCAATAAATCGGGGAAACTCGGAGGGTTCCTTTATCTAAATAGCTTATTAACCGTTGCCCACGCGCCTGGGTTTCGACTCTTAATTTATGATGGGTACACCCGGTGTTAATGCACTCGCATGTACTCGATGAGCCGCGCGCGAAGCGGACGTGTGTAACGAATAGGCCTCCACCTATGGCGGCGCGTTCGGGAGGGGTGGTGGGAAGGGATAAAGGTATATACCGAAGGGAGCCCGGAGCGTGGAATAAATTATGAAAATTCCGAATGTCAGGTGTGATCAAAGGGGCCCGCTCGCGTCTCATTGTACCCTCCTCCACCGCGTTGAACCCTATTTAGCACCTCGAGCTAAGGAGACAAGCTGGAAATAAAGCGAACGAGCTGACTGACACACGGCCGCCAATTATTGTCGAGGAATTGTGCGATCAAAAAATGGGAATCGAGCCGGTGAATGGCGCGAGAAAAATGATCTTTGCGCTTGTTGCTCCCCTCTCTTTTTACACGGTGGATAAAAGAAGTCGAGACAACAATTAAATCGAGACAAAGCGTGCTATTTATGAAAGTGTAAAAAAGTAATTATAAAAATATATAACGTAACTGTAAAAAAAATTACCATGCTCGGAAAGAGACGTGTTCAAATACGCGCTCTTTTCTAAATACAAACGAGCTTTGACAATTCGAGATTAACAAACAAAGTGTAACGTTGATCTTTCAAAAGAAGATTCGAATAACACGCGTGATGATGCTGACGGTAAATAAGATTTAAACTTTAAATCAAGGAATTCGAAGGAAGTACAAGTGAAATACGCGTCAATGTTTCACTGATCATTACATTCCAGTATATCCCCCGAGAAGAGATTGCCGTTTCGGTTCCCCTTTGAGAAATCGTCCATCTATCGTTCCGTATAGCTCGGCCAATGGAATTCGAAATTTTAATCATGAATTATTAAAACCAGATACGTGTAGCCGAGTCGGAGTTAACGTTGAATTAAGATCTTCAGAGCAATCAGGTTCCATATCGCGGCCCATTTCAAGGAATATGAATCTCCCGTAGCCAGTCTACCGAGAAATTAAGTCTTGAAGTTTTGATGCGATGCGAGCCTCGCCTCGAACGATCATCCGGAAAACGCGGAAAATGGAATTTAGAAATTAATAGGAAGCTTTTATACAAACGTCTAATAATATACCTAATGTACCTCCACGGAGAGAGGGGAATGATCGTTCGCGTGGCAAAGAATGGGGAATATGTTGGGCGAATATATTGCGTGTAGTGGCCACGAGGCGGTTGTTTAAGAAACGCGTTTAACGCACACATCGTTGTGTTAAGTGGTGCGTTTGCGCGTACACAAACGTAGAAGATAGATCCATTGATAATGTCTCTCGGTTGTTCTCGCGTAAGGACTCGTTCATGGACGTTAACCAGCTGGAAAATAAGGAAGACTCGAGGAAGAAGGGAGGAGGTAGGAGACCTGGATCAAAGTTCTTTGTTGGACTAAGGTTAAATCGGTGTACGGGGTTGTTCACGATTCTTTTTTCTTCGACGCGTTTTCTCTTCGACCGCGTCCTATGTATATATATATATATGTAGAGAGTCGGTTCATCATCGATTCTGGATCGATTCGGTGAAATGCTCGCCCGTTCATGACGTGTATTAACAGATTGCTAGTGCTGCGGTCTTTCCCCGATGGCAGATTGAGGTTTACGTATTTATTCGTTTCGAGTGGATGCGACTCAATTTCTATAATTAACTTTTTTTTTTTCTTTACGTGGGTTTATCGTGAGATTTTAGGAAGGAATTATTATTTTTCTTTAGGTAAAAATTGTTATAATTACACGTGAAAGTTTTCTATAATAAGATGTAAATATTTGTTAAAGAAAGATTATATCTCGTGGAATGGTGTGGATCAATATTTTTATATCTTCTTATTAATCTCTTTTCAAAGTTTATTCAAAGAATATTTTCCTCCGCATCTTTATTTCTTCTACGATTTATTTATTTTTTTTTTTATTATTATTCAAAAATTATTATTCATTAGAAAGGAATAACGCGATAATATATAATAGCATTATTAATTTCATCGAGATTTGCCGCATCTCTCGTGATTAATATTACGCTAATAAAACTCGTCGCGTACATGCGCGCCAAGATATATCCGCCGTAAAACCTGTAATTAAACATCATGGTAATTTCGAGAGGGTCACGTTTGAAATAAAAAAAAAAAAAAGAAAGTCAACCCGATCGAAAAACCAATGTTGGCCATGTTGGTTTTTTCTTTTCGAATCTCCTTTTGGAACAGATACTGATGGAATTATAAATTAGTCGAGTCGGCGAAACGAGACGTAGAAAACGAAGGACCGTATTCGATTCTTCGTCTCTTCCTCTTCGAAACAAGTTAACTCGTTCCTTCCCCCGTTTCCTCCACGTGTCCGTCTTCCTCTTCTCGCCCTCGCTATCTCCCAGTTGGAATCCTCCCCCCTCTCTCTTTTTTCTTCTTTTTTCTTCTTTTTTCCAATTGCG